CCCCGACCTTCCTCCAAAGAGACAGTCAAGGGAGGCAGGAGGATCTGCCACCTGTCTCTCCACCCCCACCACACATGATTTGGAGAAAATACTGCTGAGCAATTGGGAAGGTGACTGACCAGCCACATCTGAAGGAAATTTTCCTTTCATGGGCTCCCATGGCTCTGGGAGCACCAAGTCCCCTTTGATGACTCAGTTCCATCCCTGCCTCCTGCCTCCTGCCTCTTCCTCCTCTTCCTCCTCTCCTTCTTCTCCTCCCCTCCCCCTCCTTCTTTTTCTTCTTCTTCTCCCTCCTCCTCCTCCTCCTCCTCCTCCTCCTCCTCCTCCTCTTCCTCCTCCTCCTCCTCCTCCTCCTCCTCCTCCTCCTCCTCCTCCTCCTCCTCCTCCTCCTCCTCCTCCTCCTCCTCCTCCTCCTCCTCCTCCTCCTCCTCCTCCTCTTCTTCTTCTTCTTCTTCTTCTTCTTCTTCTTCTTCTTCTTCGTTTTGTTGGTTGTGAAGCTTGAACTGTGGGCCTGGGAGCTGTCCCTTAGCTCTTCAACTCGAGGCTAGCACTCTACCACTTAAGCCACAGTGCCACTTCCAGTTTTCTGGTGGTTTACTGGAGATAAGTGTCTTACAGACTTTCCTACTGGCTTTGAACCTCAATCCTCAGATCTCAGCCTCCTAAGTAGCTAGGATTATAGGCGTGACCCACCGGCGCCTGGCCTGACTGTTCTTTCACTCCTTTATCTGGTCCGTGGTGGCAGAATTGTGCATATTTGGAGCCAGCCCAGGGCTGCCCATTCTGGGCTGTGTGATCTTTAGCCAGTAAACTTCTCTGAGCTGTAGTTTCTGCTTTGGTAACTTGGGCAAGATCAGCCTCCTACAACTCAAGACTGTTTTAGAATTAAATGAGGTATTGCCGATAGACGCTGAGAAAGGGAAGCTCTTTGGCTGACAACCATGTTTGTGTTGAAATACAATGTCCACACTCTGGGTTCCAGAGATCCCTTCTAGCTGCTCAGGAGGCTGAGATCTGAGGATCATGGTTCAGAGTCAGTCTCAGAGAATTCTCTCTCCAATTCACCACTAAAAAGCTGGAGGTAGGGGCTGGGAAGGTGGCTCAGTGGTAGAGCGCTTGCCTGGCATGCATGAGGCCCTGGGTTTGATTCCTCAGCACCAGGTAAGCAAAAAGAAAAAAAGCCGGAAGTGGCACTGTGGCTCAAGTGGTAGAGCGCTAGCCTTGAGCTGAAGAGCTGAGGGACAGCGCCCAGGCCCAGAGTTCAGGCCCCATGACGGGACCCAAAAAAAACCCCAAAAACAAGAGCTGGAGGTAGAACTGTGGTTCAAGTGGTCAAGTGGTAGAGTGCCAGCCTGGAGTGAAAAAGCTAAGAGACAGCTCCCAGGCCATGAGTTCAAGCCCCAGTACTGGCACATACACGTACACGCGCACACCCACACACAAATAAATGAACAAAAGAGCAAAAAGGAAGCCCTTTTTGTCAGCCCAATGAGCCTGGTATCTAGCAAGTTCATTTGAGCAAATCACACCTTGCATTGGTTGAAATGTTTCCCTTCCATGTGTGCCTATGCCTTGTGAAAACCCAGGCTGAGGCCAAGTTCAGAGAGCAGGGCCTGACCCAAGCTCAGTCACATTCAGAGCAGCCAGAAAGGACAGCATCTCAGATGACAATGTCTCCGGTGCTGGAGTCTGGATTCAGAGAGGAGATGTCCCTCGGGTGGGAAAACGCCAGCCTCGGGGACCAGGAGGGGCGGCAAGGTCCCATTCAACCCGGCTGGGCCACGGCCATTGCCCACCTCTGGTGGAGGAGCTGTCTACCAAGAAAACTATTGAACCATGTAAAAATCCATTCCTGGAATCCCAAAGGCATCCTTACGCTGGGGCATGGCCTTTAAATTCGATGGGGGAGGAAGAAAAAAAAAAAGAGGCTGGTTTTGCCTGTAACTTGATTTCACGTTAGTGAAGGCTGGTGGCCAGAGCGTTGTCTCTCCCCAGCCCAGGCCCCCCACACCTCCTGCGATACGGGCTGGGAAGGGAACCCCAGTTCCATGGAGGATGGGTGGTAACAGGCACATGTTCCCATGGAAACTGCTGCACAGAATCCTCTGGAAATTTCTGCAGAGGAGGGGCACGACTCCCCATATCCACTTGAAGCTCTGGGCTTGATTTCCAGGGGGTGATTTTTCTCATGCAAGCACTGGGGGGGTGCATTTGGAGCCTACTGGGGGGGGGCATCAGTTTCTAGCTATTTACCACCCTTGGGGGGGGAGGCCTAGGGTGGGGATCTTGAGGATGTCAAGCGTGCTTAAGCGCTAAGAACTAGCAACGGGCAGCTCCTGGGAGGGAGGGCAAGTCCCTACCCGGCAGGTCCAGGCCACACACAGAAGCTTCAAGGTCCTTCTATCCCTCCTTCTTTCTTACCCACTGATATGGACACCAATCAACTTGCTATCCTGAAGCCAAAGACCAAGTGTTGGTCTTTTCTGTCTGCCCAGAGTCCCAGAACATTCTTCTTCCACCTCTCATGTTTGGAAACCCCTTTTAGAGACCCTGCACCCTTTCCCTCCTCCCCTTCCCTGCTTCTCTTAGCTTAGCTCAGTGGAGGCCTCTGTGCCCACTGGCCCCAGCCTTGTCCCAGGCTGGGCTGGGCATCGTGCTGGCAATGTCTGTGTCCCCAAAGGAGGGATTGTCAACCCCCAAGGGAATCACGAAGGAGCCACTGGAGGAGCTGGGTTGTTTCTTGTTTTTGTCAGTCATGGGGCTTGAACTCTGGGCCTGTGTGCTGTCCCTGAGCTCTTCAGCTCAAGAAGAGCACTTTACCACTTGAGCCACAGCACCACTTCTGGTTTTCTGGTGGCTCATTGGAGACAAGATTCTCACAGAGGGGGTGGAGGCGGGGAAGGTAGGAAGGGATGGGAAGGGGAAACAAAGGAGGAGGCAACAATGTTTGATAAGAAATGTGCTCATTATCCTGCCCATGTAAGTGTAATCCCTCTATACAGTATTTTCACAATTAAAAAAAGAAAAAAAGAGTCTCATGGACTTTCCTGCCTGGGCTGGCTTTGAACCACAGTCCTCAGATCTCAGCTTCCTGAGTAGCTGATTACAGGTGCAAGCCACTGGCACCTGGCAGGAGCTGGGATTTGATCTCAAATTAAGTAGGAGCTGAGGGAGGTTCTGAGCCGAGGAGAGAATCACTCCAAGCAGGTTTTAAAATCATCCTTCGGGTACTTTAGGAAAAGAATGCAAGGAGAGAGAGAGGTTGTGGGGCCAGAGCAGCCGCAGAGAGCTGTGGTGGGAAGGCCTATGGCAGGGCATGGCAAAGCCCATACCAGACTCCCCTGGCTTCCCTGGGAAGGGCTGGAAAAGTCCCAGCCAGAGTCAGAGGCTCAGGACACAGGAGGACAGGGAAGGGAGGTGGAGGCCTCCTCCTGCTCATCCTGGCTTTGGCTTTTAACCTGGGCCTGGCCTCTGTCAGGCAGCTGGAGGAGGTGCCTGGAAGAAAGCTCTGCACTGGCAGCTTCCCCCCTCTGCAGGCCTGGAGTTGATTAAAGCCAGCCTCTGGGAGCACCGGCCTCTCCCCTCCCCCTGCGAGGATCCCCAGAGCCCTCATGCTCTGTGTTCACACTCGGTGTGTAATCTTAGCCACTCAGGAAACTGAGATGCGAAGATTGTGGTTCAAAGCCAGCCCAGGCCGGAAAGTCTATGGCACTCCAATTAACCACCAAAAGGCCAGAAGTGGAGCTGTGGCTCTAGTGGCAGAGCCCCATCCTTGTGCAAAAAAAACCACTGAGGGACAGCACCCAGTTCATGCCCCTGTACCTGCACAAACCACACCAACAACAACCAGAAGTCCACACCCATCCTCCACCACAAGTTTTCTGCCATCCCTGCTTAGAGGGCCTAACCTGCAGAGAGGAAGGGACTCCATGGGGGCCTGGGAGCCAATGCTGTTGAGCAGGGTCTGCCCTGTGTCTTTGGTTCCCTGCCATCCCTGGTCACATTGTAAGGACTCCCCAAAAACCTCTGGAGAAGCTTAGAGGTAAAGAGAGAAGACTGGTTGTTGAACCAGCAAGAGGCAAGGGCAAAGAGACAGAGCTGGGGAGGGAGGGCAGAATGTGACAGTCCATGCGACCAGGATGCCGTCTACCCAGAAAATGGTTGCTGTGACCGGCAGGGTGCTCTGGAGGATGAAATGAGGGGTCTTGCTAGCGTCTGAAAGAGCAAAAAGGCTTGGAGCCGGATACTGGGGAGCAGCTGTCCATCTTGGCTTGAGCTACAGCCAGCCAGCAAAGGCCAGACACCAAGCCACGCCAGGACACCACAGGGAAAGAGGCGGCCTGAGGTACTAGGATGGAGGCTGGGTCTGTCGGCCTCATCCCCTAGGGCGATGGGACCAATGGCAGACAAGATAGAGAGCTCAAGGTGGTGGGCAGGCTAGGCCAGGCCAGGAGGAGGGGACCTGCGGGGGCCTAGGCCATGGAGGAGGGCAGAGAGCACAGTGGCCTCCACCCTCCACAGCAGCACACACAGAATCCTCCAGGACGCCCTTGGCTGGGTAGCAGTCGTGGTCTCCCTCTGCAGCCCAGGGCTCAGTTTGGCCCATGTGGCTGCCAGGCCTGTCCATCCACCCACACCACACCAGCCTCCTGCTCCCACCTGCACAGCCACCCACTGCTGCCAGACTCACTGGGCTGTTCCATCCCCCCCCCCTTGCTGTGCCCTCCTGGGGGCTTACCGCCTCCCCCCACCCAGACAGCCACAGGCACCACCGGACCACCGGTGTGTGTTCAGTGGGGGGGAGGGCTCTGGGAAAAGGAGGCAGCCAAGCAAATTCCTTTGTTTGTTTTGTTGGTCATGGGGCTTGAACTCAGGGCTTGGGAGCTGTCCCTGACTCTTCAGCTCTACCCCTTGAGCCACAGCGCCACTTCCGGTTTTCTGGTGGTTAACTAGAGATAAGAGTCCCATGGACTTTTCTGCCTGGACTGGCTTTGAACCATGATTCTCAGATCTCAGCCTCCCGAATAGCTAGGATGATAGGCGTGAGCCACCAGCACCTGGCCAGCCAAGCAAATTCTTAAAGACTGAGGGGCGCTTTGCTGACTAGGCCAGGGCAGAAAGTGCCGGCCTGGCAGAGGGAACACCTGGACAAGGCACAGAACGGGGCACAGACCGGAGCCAGGGAGGCAGACCAAGGCAGGGTAAGGTGATTGGGGGAGGGGAGGGGGGGAGGGTCTACACTGGCTAGGATCACTGGGGCTTGAGAGTCTCTGAGTCAGCACAAGTTCAGAGGCTGGTGGAGCCCCGCCTAGAGATTTTCATAGACCACGTTAAATTCACTCTTGTCTTCTTGTCTACGTAGCTTCTTCTGGGAAAGAAAAAAAAAAGGAAGGGGGAGAAGAAGAAGAGGACGAGGAAGAGGAGGAAGAGGTGGAAGAAGAGGAGGGGAGAGGAGGAGGAGGAAGAGGAGGAAGGAGAGGGGGAGAAAGGAAGAGGAAAAGGGAGAGGAGAAGGGGAAAGGGGGAGGGAGGGAGAGGGGAAGAAGGGGTGAGGAGAGAATGGGAGGACAGGGGACAAGAGGAGAGGAAAGGAGAATGGAAAGGAGGGGAGAAGATGGGAAAGGAGAGAGGAGGGGAGGGGAGGGGAGAAATGGAGAAAAACTATTAAGTAGGAAACACATGAACTTGCACTAGTTTAGTTTTAGTCAGACTCAGACAGATTGTTTCCTGTGAGCTTTGGCAGTGTGCCTGCCTTCTGTCCCCAAGCCCGCCTGACCAGCCTCTTGTCCCTCCATCCTGGGGGCTATACCAGCCTCCCCTGGCCTGCCTCAGCCTCCCCTGTCCCCTGACTCCCCCCTATTTACCTTGTTAGGAGTCCCCAGGAACTTAGAATCCCCAGGAGCCTCCCCTCTCTCCCAGTCCCCATCTGGCTTCTCCCTAGAGCCCACCTTCCACAAGAGAACTGCCAATGTTTCTGTGCTCTTTGGCTCAGTGGCATTGTTCCTGCAGCCCAAGACTTCTGGAGAGCTGTCCTGTCCAGCACCCGAGGGCCTGGCACAGGGTGGGCACTCACTGCTGAGATGGCCCAGACAACCTCCGTGGTTCAGGGAGGGAGGCCCTGCTTCCGGTCTGGGTGGCTTTGAGAACAGGAAGCTACACAAGCAGTCCCCAGCCTGAGCTTCCGGAGGCTGAGCCAAGTCCCCAGGGGCCACAGGCCCTACGGGGCCTGCACTGGCTCAGCTTCATCGCCCTTCACAGCGACCCCAGCTCCCATCAGGTGTGGCAGTGATGTTTCTGAATTCTGGGCCAGATGGTGTGGCAGCAAAACACGACTCACATACTTTATAAATAAGCAGACAAGTCAAAGAAAGAAAGAGCAGGGTAAGCCAGGCCCTGGTGGCTCATGCCTATAATCCTAGCTACTCAGGAGGCTAAGATCTGAGGATCAAGGTTCAAAGCCAGTCTGGGCAGGAAAGTCTTCAAGACTCCAATTAACCACCAGAAAACTGGAAGTGGAACTGTGGCTTAGAGTGGTAGGGTGCTAGCTTTGAACACAAAAGCTCAGGGACAGCACCAGCCCAGGCCCTGAGAACCCCCCCCCCCCCCCACACACACACACAGCAGCAGCAGCAGCAGCAGCAGCAACAGACCCAAGGCCCTGTCAAGTTGACACCAGGCCAGCCCAAGGACATCAGCATCTACTCTATCTCTGGCCTTAGCCAGCACTGGACTGGGGACACCTGTAAGCCCCCCAACTTCCCCTCTGATCAGCCAGTGTAGACATGGTAGTGTTCCTTGAATAATGGTTAAGATCGTTCAGCAAAGAAGTCTGTCTGTGAGCTTTGGGCCCTCCATCAATGTCACAGAAGATGGAGACACAGAGAAGTTAGGCAGCCTGAGCACGCATGCACAGCTGCGAGGAATGGAGCAGGAGTCCAGAGCCCCCAGTTCTCCCTGTAGTCTAGTTGCCTGTGAAGAGGGCTGGATTCCATTGCAGGTGCCTCACACCTGCAGTCTAGTTAACCCCCACGGCACAGAGGAGGAGGAGGGGAGGGCAGGCTTGGAGCTCCCTCCCTGCCTACCTGGGAGGGGGGACTTCTGGCGGCGGAGGGCAGGCTGCCAGCCTTGCTCTCAATGTAGGAGTAGACCTCAGTCTCTCGGCGCTGTAGGGCCTGGAGGAGAAGAGCGCTGGGATGAGGGGGGTATACAGAAGGGAGCCCCTGGGCCCCAAGCCAGCCTTCCCACTGCACACCTTTGCATCTCCCCTCCTCTGCTAGTGCTCCATCCACACGGCTACCTGGCTGGCAAGACTCAGGGCCTACCCTGGCCTGAGCATCCTCCCCTAGCCTCAGACCCCCGAGGGCCTGAGACCACATCACTGCTCAGTAGGGCACTTGCCAGTATCTGCTGCACTCCCTAGTTCAAAGCCCCGGGCCTCATGGGGGTCCCACCCATCCACCCACACCTACTCCCCTGCCTGAGCTGGTGGGTGTGCCAGGCACCCACTGGGGTCTCACTGCTGACCACCGATGGGCTAGCCCAGCCTCAGTTCTCAGCGTCCCATCACCTTCCCTGCCTGTGTCATTTGCAGAAATTCAGTTTCCACCGGCCCACCCTGACCCTGGCCCCAGGAGGGCAGAGGGTCACATTCCACTGGGGCTGTGCAGTAGGGAGCTCAGCCTCCAGTTTCCCGTCTCCCGCTGGACTGGGAGCCCTGGAGGGCAGGCACTGGGCCTGGTTCGTCTCCTGGTGTGTGAACTTACAGCTGGCCCTGGCACAATGAGAGCCACACCAAATGTGCAATGGTGAGGCTTCCCTGTGTGGCGGTGTCCTAGGGCCTCACTGGCTCCAGCCCAGCCTCAAGATGCTCAAGATGGTCAGGCACAGTCATTCACACCTATAGTCCTAGCTACTCAGGATGCTGAAAATGGAAGGGTCATAGTTCGAGGCCAGCTCAGACAGAAACGTTCTCCAGACCCTCCCCCTTCTTTCTTTTGGTGCTAGGTCTAAGGCTTGAACTTTGGGCCTGGGTGCTATCCCTGAGCGTTTGTGCTCAAAGCCAGGAACCTATCACTTGAGCCACAGCCCCACTTCTGGCTTTTTGGTGGTTAGTTGGAGATAAGAGTCTCACGGACTTTCCTGCCCAGGGTGGCTTTGAACCACAATCCTCAGATCTCAGCCTCCTGAGTAGCTAGGATTATAGATGTGACCACTGGCTCTAGACCTTCTCTTGAAAAATAACTAGCCCTCAGAGGTCTGAGTGAGGATAGGAATGATGGGGGAGAATGATGGAAAGATACCGATGTTCAACATGGCTTATACAATCACTTAAAGATTTTTACTTTATTTTATTTTATTTTTTGCCAGTCCTGGAGCTTGAATGCAGGGCCTGGGCACTGCCCTTGAACCTCTCTGTGCTCAAGGTTAGCACTCTACTAGCTGAACCACAGTGCCACTTGCAGATTTTTCTGTGTATGTAGTACTGAGTAATTGAACCCAGGACTTCATGCATGGTAGGCACACACTAAGCCACATTCCCAGCCCTTAAAGATGATTTTTTTTTTTTTGATCGGTTGTGGGTCTTGAACTCTGGGCTTGGGCGCTGTCCCTGCACTCTTCAGCTCAAGGCGAGGGCTCTACCACTTGAGCCACAGCACCACTTCCTGAAGGATGATTTTTAAAAAATGAAAAGAACTAGCAAAACTACTGGGCTGGATGCACGGCTTAAGTGGTAGCACACTAGCCTAGCGTGCATAGGAACCTGAGTCCCACCTTTGCCCCAAAAAGAGAGCCAAGACTTTGAAGCCAGACAAGAAAAAGTTCAATTCTTAGTTTTGACATCTGCCATCACAGGCCACCCCCTTAACCCTCTCTGTTTTCTCATTTACAAAATGGGAATCATTGTATCTACCTTGAAGCCGGCACTCCAGACCAAATGAGATATTAGACAGCAAAGGCCTTGCATAGTATTAGGTAAATAGTAGATGCTTCGTAAGCAACTGTCAGATGATCCAGAAAGACTCTGCTTCCTCTGCTACTCCAGGCAGCACCCACTCTCGGGCCCCATTGGGCTCTATATAGTTCAGAGCCTGCAACAGCCTAAGCAAGAGGCAGAAGCCTTTCCTTTCCCCAGTGTGTGTCATACGATGCCGGCTGGTTGCCAAGGAGGCGGTTTCCCTGGCAACAGTCAAGCAGGGGTTGCTGAGGCGGGCTGGAGAGACAGGTGGTGCTCAGAGGCAGGAGGAGGGCGGGGAAGGGGGGAGGGAGGGAGGTGCTCAGAGGCAGCCAGGCATGAAAACCTGTGTAATAAACCGTTTGACTCTTGGGAGAGCCTCAGGGCTTGGACAGGGGGCCGGTGGGGGCACCTTGGGAGCCACTCAAGGGGCAGGCTCCAAAACAGAAGAGGGTGGATCTAGGGAGAGGAGGCTTCTAACTTGTCTCCTTCCCAAGGAGAAGCTCAGTTTCTAGGGAAAAGAAACTTCCAAGGCCCATTCTGACCCATGTGTATCTTGGTGGTGTCTGCCCAGTACTTGCTGCTGCTAGTCCTCAGAATGGAATTTGTTCCCTTGCTGCCTTGTGCACCCACCCCCACCCCAGGCCCTGCCTCCCAGGCTTGGCCAGAGATCTGACAGATCTGAGCAGCAAGGAGCTGGGATCCACAGGTGGTAGCCTCTCCGCTCCTGTCCAGCTCCTATGGCGGCCTGGAGCGCAGGAGACCAGAGGAGAACGCAGCCCCTGCAGGCCTGGGACCCTCACAGCACAGCGGAGCTGGGACCTCTGGAGGGCAGGAGCCATGGCCGGGTGAGAAGGCCACCACTTAGCAGCTCCAGACGGAAGCCTTGATGAGTCCCGGCCTCCAGCTGTACTTCCATGCAGGGTGTGAACTGCAGGCCAGGCCTGACTGCTCTTCCTTGGTGGTAACAGGGAGACCAGCCTTGGTGGGCCTGCTTGGGCCTCTGTCTCACTGGGTCACCTGTGGGGTGACCCTGGGCAGGGCTGGATGGGCCGGGCCAGGCCATGGTTTATCTGAGAGTCAAGTCCTAAAAGCATCTTTGCCTCCTGCCCAGTGGGTGATGCTGCTGACCTGGTTATCAGCAGTGCAGAGGCGCAGAGCCCGTGCCAGGCCATCCTCCAGGATATAGTTGGAGGGGAGTGGGTGTTTCCGGCCGTGGGTGGGGTCTGGGAGTGCAGTTTAGAAAGGATGGCGGGTCAGGAGTGAGCACCGCGGTTCAGATGGCTCCGATGGAATGTGCAGGTGAGGGTGGGGCGGGGAAGGATTCAGACCGAGTTTGACTTGGGTGTTAGAAAGGTCACTTTGCCAGGGGCTCACACCTGTAATCCTCCCTACTCAGGAGATGAGATCTGAGGATTGAGGTTCAAAGTCAGCCCTTGCAGGAAAGTCTGAGTGACTCTTTTCTCCAATTAATCAGCAAGGAGTAGAGTAATGCCCTTGAGCAGCAGCAGCAACAACAAGAAGCTTAAGGATAGCACCCAGGACCTGAGTTCAAACCCCAGGATACACACACACACACACACATACACACACACACACACACACACACACACAAATAAACCAGAGCAAAAAAGGGCTGGAGGTATGACTCCAGTGGTAGAGGGTCTGCTTGTCTATCAAGAACAAGGTTCTGAGTTCAAACCCCAGTTTGGCTAACAGAGAAAAAGAGGTGAGGAGAAGGCTTTCACATGGCAGCTGACACAGAATCCCACACTAGGAAAGAAGAACAGGTTTGGGGAAGTGTGGGGCTGTAGATGCTGCCGGCAGCTGGTAGAAAGTCCCTGGGGAGAGCCCAAGATCCTTTGGGAACTGTCACCTTTGCCTTGAAGTTGCCTGTGGTACCTCCCTGGGGACATCCCCACACCCACACCCAGCAGACCTGGCTGGACTCTGAACGCAGTCTGGGAGGGACAACCCAAGTGTCCCCAGGCCTGGGGACAGGAGCACACACAGCACATGCCTGCAGAGCCTGGTGTCCAGACAGCTGAGGGGGCCCCAGAGGGGCAGGCGTGGGCCAGGGAGTCCAGCCTGGTGGCTCTGGACCTCACAGGGCTGACATCCGGGTGACAATGACCTTTTGCTTGCTCTACATCGATAGCATGTTATTCATGGACCCCAAAGCACAAATGTAAATGAATATTCCTCGCTTCCTCAGCCACACTGGGGGGTGGAGGGGCTGCGTGCAGCCTCTTTGGGCTCCTGCCCCACGTAGTTAGGAAGACTGTGGTAGAAAATTCTGTGACACCACAGGGTGTGGGCATCAGGGTCCCAGCCCGTGTCTGCCCTGAGACTAGGAGCCTATATTGCCATATCTGTACGTGGTGGAGGAGGCAGAGAGCAAACCAAAAAACTTCTTGGACTGGAGGCATGGTGCAAGTGGTAGAGCCAGGTTCAAGGCCTGAGTTGAATCTCTAGTACCACAAAAACAGAAAGAAGAAAGAGAGGGCCACACTCCAGTGGTTGGTTCACGTCTGTAATCCTAGCTACTCAGAAGGCTGAGATCTGAGGAGCCAGCCTGAGGAGCAAAGTCTGTGAGACTCATCTCCAATTAACCACACACACACATACACACACACCAAAAAAAGCCCAGGTGCTGGTGGGTCACACCTATAATCCTAGTTACTCAGATGGCTGAGATCTGAAGATCATAGTTCAAAGCCAGCCCAGGCAAGAAAAACCTTTATTTCCAACTAGCCTCCGGAAAACCAGAAGTGGAGCTGTGGCTCAAAGTGGTAGGGTGCTTGCTTTAAGCAGAAAAAGCTCCAAGACAGAACCTGGACCCTAAGCTCAAGTCCCACAACTGACAAAAAAAAAGTAGCAGTGGAGCTGTGGCGTAAGTGGTAGAGCACTAGCCTTGTACATAAAAGCTCAGGGACAGTGCTCAGGCCCAGAGTTTAGGCCCCAGGACAGGCACAAAATAAAATAAAATAAAAAGAACAAAGAAAAGGAAAGTAGGAAGTGGCACTGTGGTTCAAGTGGTAGCGTGTTAGCCTTGAGCACAAAGAGGCTCAGGGACAGAGCCCAAGCCCTGAGTTCAAGACCCAGGACCAGAAAAAAAATAAATCTGTGCAGACAAAAGTGGCTCACACCAGTAATCCTAGCTACTCAGCAGGCTGAGATTTGAGGATCTTGGTTTGAAGCCAGCCAAGGCAGGGAAGTGCATAAAACTTAACTCTAATGAATCAACAAAAAGCCAGAAGTGGGGGCTGGGAAGATGGCTCAGTGGTAGAGCGCTTGCCTTGCATGCCTGAGGCCCTGGGTTCGATTCCTCAACACCACATAAGCAAAAAGAAAAAAGCCGGAAGTGGCACTGTGGCTCAAGTGGTAGAGCGCTAGCCTTGAGCTGAAGAGCTGAGGGACAGCGCCCAGGCCCAGAGTTCAGGCCCCATGACCGGACCCAAAAAAAAAAAAAGCCAGAAGCAGAGCTGTGGTGTAAGTGAGAAACACAAAAACTAAAACTAAAAATCTAAGAGATAGCACCTAGGCCCAGGATTGGCAAATACATCAATAATAATGTATGGAGGGCGTGGGGGGGGGGGGGGCACGTGATGGTTTCCTTCTGGGTGAGCTCTGTTGTGGTGGCTGGGAGGGTTGTTTGTATAAGAGAACAGGAAGGAGCTGGCAAACGGCTAGAAGTCATTTGACCAGAAGGACATTTCTTCATCTCTGAGCAGCTCCTGTGTCCCTAAGAGCGGGGGATGGACGTGCCCGGGAGGGGGTGGGGTGGCACTTCCCATGGACATGCCTGCAGGGGCCCCCACAATGACCTCTCCTTTTCTCCTTCTAGAACTTTCCTAAGGTGGGAATTAGTGAAGCTCTTTTACAGCTGAGGAGCTGGAGGCTCCTGGGCCAGGAGGTGGGGGGCTGTCAGACCCCGAGTGGGGCCTGAAAGGCCCCGGGCAGGTGTGGGGCTCACCGTGTAGAGAGAGTCTTCTGGGGGCTGCGTGGGTCTGCTGGTGGGTCTGCTGGTGGGTCGTGGGTCTGGGCGCGCGTGAGTGGAGCGCTTCAGAGAAACCAGCATCTGCTTCTGTGGGGAGACAGGAGACCAGACTGTCAGGGCTGGGGCTGAGTGACTCCCCTGCCACCCTAGACCCCAGCAAGACAAGATGGAGGGGTGTCAGGAGGCCACATGGGAATTAGTCTGACCTTTACCCCTTCCACCCACCATCTCCAGGGAGATCTGGGGGATGCCCCAAGTCCTCCATGAAGGCGCTCACATGCCTGAGGCTGGAGGAGGTGAAGCAAGGGCTTGTGGGGGCAGCACTGATCTGGGAGGCTAGGGCACCGGGGTCCTGTGCCAGTGTGGCCGGGCACTTGCCCCAAGCAGGGGCTGTGAGTGGGCTGGGGTGGGGGTGGGGGTGGGGGGCAATCGTGCCTGGGCCAGTCCTGACCCCCACTTTACTGTCTCTGACATGCAGGAAGAGGTCGAATGTCCCTGAGACTTTTAACTCCAATTAAAACCTCTTAACTCCAATAAAAAACCAGAAAACGGGAAGTGGTGCTGAGGCTCAAAGTGGTAGAGCACTAGCCTTGAGCTGAGAGCTGAGGGACACCCAGTCCCCGAGTTCAAGCCCCACAACCAACCAAAAAAAAAAAAAAGCTCCTTAAACTACCCTGCGTTCATCCAGCACCTGTTAGCTGGGCAGTATGAAGAGATCCACAGCGACCCCCTCCTGACTTGACTTAGGTTCAGCGCAGACACAGACAATGAGCCTGGATTTTACCAAAATGTGTGCGTGCTGACTGACCACACACACACACACACACACACACACACACACACACACACACACACACACACACACACACACACACACACACACACACACACACACACACACACACACACACACACACACACACACACACACACACACACACACACACACACACACACCAGGGAACCGTGCCATCTGAGGACACTGGCTGTTCCCAGCCGAGGGAAAGGCATGCCCAAACCTGGAGGCCCAGCAGCGCTGAAGGTAAACCAGCGTGGCCAACAGACAAGCCTGCTTGGGCTGTCAGGGTGGCCCCGCAGGCAGCAAGAACAACAGGAAGCCTGGAAGGCTTCAGGGAGGAGGTGGCTGCCCCACAGCGTGGCTTTAGAAAGCTCCAAGCTGCAGCAGCAGCCGTACAAATGCACCAAGTCAGGAGGCTGGGCAGGCCTGCTGGGAGGGCACAGGGTTGGGGCGACCGTGGGAGGCACGGAGAGAGGCGGTCTGGACGCCCCCTCGTCACAGGCACCACACTGCCAACAGTAGAGCAACACAGCTTCATCGCGGGGCAGGAGCTAATTAAAAACCCTGGCTGCCTGCCAATCGCCAGCCCATTTACTCCGGGATTAGCTCTTGAGAGCTACTTAACTCGCAGGCAGGAGCCGGCGCCACCCCCAGCCACAGCATCATTACGGCAGCAAGTGTAGGGGTGGCGGGGGGGGGGGGGGGGGGGGGGCAGAGTGCTGCCTCTTCTGTACTCTGCGATAATCCTCAGGCCATCTCTGTCCTGCACAGGAAGAAGTGAAGGCTCAGAGAAGACAGGGGGATCCAGCTAAGGACACACACCAGGAAGTGGCAGGGACAGGATTTGAACTCAGGTCTGAGTTTCACCAACAAGCCATCCTGACAGGACTTGGGGCTCTCGCTGCTCTGTGTGGTGAGGAAGTGTAGCACACAGGCAGCTCGGGGACTCCCGTGCACTTAGCAGCTGGGACTTGTTCTTTATTCAAGTCACCTAAGTGAGTGGCCATTTCACAGAGGAGAAAACCAAGGCTCACCAGCTAGCCAACGGCTGCCTTTGCAGCAAACTCCCCTGAGATCTGGCACCCCTTCTCTGAAGCATCTGCCCCTAGAGGCCCCATTACAATCAGGGCTCCTCAATGGCCCCTCTTGTCAAGACCACCGGGGTCCCGGTGCCTGCTCTGGCTGGCTGGTCTGGAAGCCATCAAGGCTGAAGGACATGAGCCCCTGGACAGTGACTGTTCCAAGAGGCCAGTCCACCAGAGCTGGGGACCATGGGCCCTGGTGTCTGACACCTGTGGGCCTCTCCGCTGGCCTCTGGGACCATACATTGGGGCAGAATGAAAGACAGGAGCAGTTGGGGAGGGGCTGAGGTTACCAGGAGAGGCGCCCTTCAGGGGGTGCTGCGGAGGCCTGGGCCCCAGGGCCACTCCCTTAAAACTCCATGATGCTATGGGCACTGGTGGCTCACACTGTAACCCTAGCTACTCAGAAGGCTGAGATCTGAGGATCTCGGTTCAAAGCCAGCCTGGGCAGGAATGTCCCATGAGACTCTTTTTGTTTGTTTGTTTGTTTTCGGGTTTTTTTGTGGGGGGTCCGGTCATGGGGCCTGAACTCTGGGCCTGGGCGCTGTCCCTCAGTTCTTCAGCTCAAGGCTAGCGCTGTACCACTTGAGTCACAGCGCTGCTTCTGGGTTTTTTCTTTTGTTTTTTGGGTCCGGTCGTGGGGCCTGAACTCTGGGCCTGGGCGCTGTCCCTCAGCTCTTCAGCTCAAGGCTAGCGCTCTACCACTTGAGCCATAGCGCCACTTCCGGCTTTTTTCTTTTTTCTTATGTGGTGCTGAAGAATCGAACCCAGGGCCTTGAGCATGCAAGGCAAGCGCTCTACCACTGAGCCACCTTCCCGCCCCCCATGAGACTCTTATCTCCAATGAACCACCAGAAAACTGAAAGTGGTCTGTGGCTCAAGTGGTAGAGTGTTCACCTTGAGCTGAAGAGCTGAGGGACAGCGCTCAGGCCCAGAGTTCAAGCCCCACAACTGACCAAAGGAAAATAAAACAACTCATAAGATGCCATGTTTTTGTAGGCATGGGGTGACCTGTCCTTTGCAGCCAACCCTGACCATCTAGGCCCTGGCTCCCAAAGGCAGCCAGCATAGCTCCTCTTGCTGTGGCCAGCTCTGGGCTGCTGAGCAGCCCCTCACCAGCGGGGCAGGGGGCCGGGGGCAGGGGCATCTTCTGAGACCCAGCTCTGCACAGCAGGGCTGCTGCTGCAGTGTCCTCTCCCAGCTAGCCCTGTGCATGGGTCCACAAGCACCCTGGCCCCAGCTTGTAGGGCCACTCTGTAGTGGGGAACAGTGTGGACGCCAGAGGCCAGAGTGGGCAGCGGAGGGAGAGAGCAAGGGCAGGGGCAGAAAATGAAGTTGGAGCCTGAGCCAGGGCAGTAGTCAGAGGAGCTGAGTGCTGGACAGACAGAGGACAGGGCTTGCTGACAGACTGGCGCTGGGAGGGAGGGGAGTCAAGTGCACCACTGCAAGGATTTGTGTCTGGGCACCGGGGTGCATGATGCTTTTAAGAGTCCCGAGTGCGCTGTCCTGTCAGGCGCCGTGGCTCACGCTTGTAACCCTAGCTACTCAGGAGGCTGAGATCATAGGGTTGCTGTGGGAAGCCAGCCCAGGCAGGAATAGTCTGTGAGATAATTCCTGCCAGTTAACCACCTAAAGCCAGAAGTGGCATTGTGGCCAAATGGTAGAATGCTAGCCTGAGCACAAAAGCGAAGGGACACACCCAGGCCCTGAGTTCAAGCCCTAGGACTGGCACAAGAAGAAACAGTGCTGTCCAGGACAGGTGAGCTGGAGACATCATCCTTCAGCCACCATGCCAAGCCGGGCCGTGGCTGGAGTGTGAGGAGGAGGCTAGACAGTACTGTCAGCCAAGGGAGACAAAGCTCCGGGGATAGACCAATCACCGCAGGAGCCCCCGAAGAGCCCTGGCAAGGACCAGCTTGAGCTCAGACCAGTGTGAGCCGTCACGCCTGCTCTCAGACAGAGTCACAGTAACCACATCTTTTCAGAAGGGACCTTAGGTTCCCTCTGACCCCTGTGCTCTGTCTGCTTTGAATCCCCACTGGGGAAACGGAGGCAGGGTGGAGTTAAGCACCCTACCCACGCTCACAGAACTAGTAAGTGACAGAGTTAGAACTTTAATGCTGTGGAGGGTTTTTTTGGTGTGTGTTTTTGTTTTTCCCAGTCCTGGGGCTTGAACTCTGGACCCGGGCACTGTCCCTGAGCTTCTTTTGCTCAAGGCTGGCACACTACCATTTGAGCCACAGTGCCACTTTGGCTTTTTCTATTAATGTGCTACTGAGGAATCGAACCCAGGGCTTCATGCATGCAGGCGAGCATTCTACCACAAAGCCACATTCCCAGCCCTAACATTATATTCTTAGTTCCCCACTGGCTGCCACTTTCTTTGTATGAGTGCCTGTGTGTGTGTGTGTGTGTGTGTGTGTGTGTGTGTGTGTGTGTGTGTGTGTGTGTGTGTGTGTGTGTGTGTGTGTGTGTGTACCTATAATAGGGCTTGAACTCAGGACCTGGACACAGTCCCTTAGCTTTTTTTTTTCAAGGCTAATGCTCTATCACTTGAGCCACAGCTCCACCTTTGGCTTTTTGCTGGTTAATTGGAGATAAGAGTCTCACATGCTTTTTCTATGTGGCCTGGCTTCAAGCCTCCATCCTCAAATCTTAGCCTCCCGAGTAGCTAGGATTACAGGCCTGAGCCTCTGTCACCTGGCTGTGCTTGTGTTTAACCTATCATAACTATTTACCAGCTCCCCCAGGATCCTAGCCTTTACTACAGGACCTGGTGTATAGTAGTTAAGATCTGCCTAAGGAAATGTATGCACATATTTAAGTAGCTTTATAAATGATAACTCAATGGCAATTCCTTACTGAGGGTCTACTATGTGTAAGAGGGTAGAGTCATTGCAGGGACAGGCAGAGAAGTACGGAACAAGAAAGCTCAGGCCAGGGGCCAGTGACTCACACCTGTGACCCCAGCTACTAAGGAAGCTGAGATCTGAGGATCACATTTCTAAGCCAGTCAGGGCAGAAAAGTCTGAGATTTCTATCTGCAGTTAACAAGCAAGAAACTGAAGTAGAAGTGTGGCTTACATGGTAGAGTGCCAGCCTTGAGCAGAAAAAGCTAAACACGAATGTGAGGCCTTGAGTTCAAGCCCCACTATTGACATGCACACACAACAAGAACAAAGTAAAAGAAAAATAAGCCAGGCGCCAGAGGCTCAGGCCTGTAATCCGAGCTACCCAGGAGGCTGAGATCTGAGGATCATGGTTCAAAGCCAGCCTGGGCAGGAAAGTCCGTGAGACTCTTATCTCTAATTAACCATCAGAAAACCGGAAGTGGCGCTGTGGCTCAAGTGGTAGAGTGCTCGCCTTGAGCTAAAGAGCTGAGGGACAGTGCCCAGGCCCAGAGTTCAAGCCCCACAACCAACAAAAAAGAAAAAAGAAAAAGAAAGCAAGCTCAGGACTGGGAGATGATGAAAGTGAGCCCCCCTTCCCCCCACTCCCCCACCCCCGCCAAATGGGGAGACACAGCTTCCTAGAGAGGTGCCATCCACAGTGTGAGTGGGAACAGGCCAAGTAAAGAGCCGGAGCAAGCTGCCCCTCTCCCTACACTCTAGTGCTGAGCTTGCTGTGTGACCAGGGGCAAAATTCAACCTCCCTGAGCCTTTCTTTCTACACCTCCAGAGACGTGAGGGCCTGCCTAGGAGGATGCATGTGGTAGCTCTTTCCTTCCAGACTCTTCTTTCCTTTTGGGTTGCTGAGACCAAGAAAATATAGGACTGAAACTGTGTGTCAGTGGCTCACACCTGGAATCCTAGCTACTCAGGAGGCTGAGATCTGAGGATCGTAGTTTGAAACCATCCTGGTAAGGAAAGTCCCTGAGACTCATCTCCAATTCATCATAAAAGCTGGTGGCTCAGGTGGTAGAGCACTAGCTTTGAGCACAAAAGCTCAAGGGCAGTGCCCAGTTCCTGAGTTTAAGCGGAAGAACTGGCACACATGCATGACACACACACACATGAAAATCTAGGACTGGGGGCATGGTTCATGCTGAGTGACCATAGGCCCTAAAGAACCCTGGGTCCTGCAATAGATCAAACAGGGCCTGGTGATGCACGCAGAGGACGCCTGGGAGGTTCTGTCCATCCTTGGTGACGTGGCAGGAGGGACTCCAGCTCCAGGGCCCAGGTCTTTGTGCAGGGCAGTGGCAGCAGCCCCTCTGCCCTGTGAGGCCTCCCCAGGCCCGTGATGTGAGTGCAGGGACTGCGTTGCTGGGTGCGTCCAGCTGTGTGCAGCTGTGTGCCCAGGCCATACCTTCTTCCACAGCAGCAGGGCTGTGAGCAGCACACTCAGAGTGGCCAGGAGCCCCGTAAAGCTGAAGAGGAGGGCCTTCTGGGGGCTGGGTGGGGGCTCTTGGTACCCCGTGTCTGAGAGGAGGGCAGGGAACAGAGGATCAGTTTTCTGGGAGAAGTGGAGCCTAGTCAGCCCACCAGCCCCCAAATCCTCTGTTCTCCTTCACCCAAGATCCCCATTTCCAGCCTTCTCCTATTGACCCCTGCGCTGGCCAGATCCTAGTATCACTCTTGCTTTGCTAAGTCTTCTGCTCAGTCTCTTTAGAGACAAGGACCGTGTTGTTCGATCCTTTAGGCCCCTGCTAAGGTGAGCTGGCTTACCGAGGGTGGTCTGTGGGACCCTGGGAGACTCAAGTCATCTTTTTGTTTTGTTTTGTGTTTTGTTTATTTTGTGCCAATCCTGGGGCTTGAACTCAGGGCCCTAGGCGCTGTCCCTGAGCTTTTCTGCTCAAGGTGAATGCTCTACCACTTGAGCCACAGCTCCATTTCCAGCCTTTGGGTGGTAATTGGAGATAAGAGTCTCATAGACTTTACTATCTGTCCTGGCTTTGAACCGAGATGCTCAGATGTCAACCTCCTTAGTAGCTAGGATTACAGGCGTGAGCCACCTATGCCTAGCTTACATTAGTTTTATTTATCAAGCCGCTCTTCTGCCAGACAGCAGCTCTTACAGGCAGGGTCTTACTCTCCCCACCAAAATCCTGCACAGAGCTGGGCACCAGTGGCTCATGCCTGTAATCCTAGCTACTCAGGAGGCTGAGAGCTGAGGATCATAGTTCAAAGCCGGCTCGGGCAGGAAAGCCCGTGAGACTCAATAAACCACTCCGAAAACTGGAAGTGGTGTTGTGGCTCAAATGGTAGAGTGCTAGCCATGAGCTGAAGAGCTGAGGGACAGTGCCCAGGCCCAGAGTTCAAGCCCCATGACCAAAAAAAAAAAAAAAGAATCCAGCACAGGCCTAAGGTCACATATGGGCAAGCAAAGGAACAGGGATTCAAACCCAGGTCTGTGGGATTCCAAAGTCCCCTCTCACCACATCCAGTGAGAATCACAGAAGTAAATCAGAGATTCCCAGCTGGAGCAGCTGGCTCAGGTGAAACCTCATGGGATCCCGCTATTCCCTGAGAATTTCTTTCCTGAAAGATGTACTCATTCCAAGTCTTCACGAGCATACGCCTGCACGTACCTCATTCTGCACAGACCAAACCCTCCCCCCGACTGTGCTGATGGGATCCTAAGACCAAGGGGCCAGTTACCAGCCATGGGCAGGAGGAGCAGGTGCACAGCCCAGCTCCCTGCTCTTGGCATGCCTACTGGCTGATGGCTCCACGTTACCAAAGCTAGAAGCCACCCCAGCCCTGGTCTCACACTTCACCCTTGGTCTGGGAGGAGCCACGGGGAGGTCTCACCTCTCACCAGGATGAAGGTACCATTGCCGCACGCGGTGAAGCTCGGCCAGTGGCTGCAACAGTAATAGGTACCTGTGGCCAAGGCGTTAGGCAACGGAGGAGTGACCTGACAATCCAAGGTGTAGGTCCGGTTCTCGATGCCCTCACTGGGTTGGCAGCCAGTGGGCGACTCCTTGCTTTTCCTGCCCTCAAGATCCACTTGAAAATAAGTCACGTGGAAATGTCTGAGTTGCGGGGTGTACTGGTAGGTGATTGTGCAGCTGAAGGAGGCGGTTCTGTTGGCGAGGGAGACGACAATGGGCAGGCCCGCGTGGGTGATGGACTGTCCTCCTGTGGGAAAAGACACAAGAGTGCCAGCTCACTTGACACACACCAGCACTAAGGCTAGCACCTCCCCTGCACTCACTGTGCAGACATAGGACAAGCACTCCACACGAGACTTCACCATTGCTACTATACTGCGCCAAGAAAAGGGCCCTGCTTTGCAGAGGAAGAGTCTGAGACTCAGGTCACCCCTAGCTCCTGCTCCCTCAGTGGCAGTAGACCTGCAACCCTGCCCAGAGCCCCAGCCTCCAACATCTCTTCCCACAGGCCAAGAGATCTCACTGGCTAAACGCACATATCTGATGATCCAAGAACAATGCCAGGTGCTGGTGCACTCGCCTGTAATCCTAGATACTCAGGAGGCTGAGATCTGGGGATCACAGTTCAAAGCCAGCCCAGCCAGGAAAATTGGTTAGACTTATTTCCAACTAACCACCAAAATGCTGGAAGTGGCAGAGCACCACCCTTGAGCAAAAAGCTAAGGGACAGCATTCAGGCCCTTAGTTCAAGTTCCAGAACTGATACAAAAAAGAATTTAAGCTGGGCACTGGTGGCTCACACCTGTCATCCCAGCTACTCAAGAGGCTGAGATCTGAGCATCATGGTTCAAAGCCAGCCTGGGCAGGAAAGTCTGTGAGACTCTTGTCTCCAATAAACCACCAGAAAACTGGAAGTAGTGCTGTGGCTCAAGTGGTAGAGCACTTGCCTTGAGCTGAAGAGCTGAGGGACAGCGCCCAGGCCCAGAGTTCAAGATCCAGAATGACAAAAAAAAAAAAAAAAAAAGAAGAAGAAGAAGAAGAATTTGAAGTAAGAGGAAAGAAGAAAACAAATGAAAGAAGCTGACCCTGGCTGGGGGTGGTGGACAGAGGACAGGAATTCCTACACAGTCTCCCAGGCCAGCAGCCGGAGATACAGTTTCCCAGAGCAAAGCTACAAGAGGATTTGCCAGACTTCCATGAAATCTAGCTAGCACAGTTCTCAGCCATGCAGAGGCGCTCACAGAGTTGGGGATACTGCCGCTGGGAGACTTTCCTGCCTGGGCTGGCTTTGAACAGCGGTCCTCAGATCTCAGCCTCCTGAGTAGCTAGGATGACAGGCGTGAGCCACTGGCGCCTGGCTTCCCTGAGCTTCTTATCTCCAGTGAACCACCAGAAAACTGGAAGTGGGGCTGTGGCTCAAGTGGTAGAGTGCCAACCCTGAGTGAAAAAAGTTCAAGGACAGCATCCAGGAGTCAAGTCCACATATTGGCACCAAGAGATAGAAAAAGGGAGGAAGGAAGGAAGGGAAGGAAGGGAAGACCAAAACAGCAGTGTATCCTGGCTGGGCCTCTGAGCCTCGCGCTTTCTGGATTTGGGCTAAGGCTGGCAGCCACCGCTCCCAACTTCGATGACACAGACCCCTTGGCTCCAATATTCTCTGCCTCCCAGGCCCTTCTCTCTCCAGCAGCTCCAGAGCAGACAGTTTTAAATTGAGGTCGGCAGCAGGCAGCCAAGAACACGCAGGCTGGCTTGTTAATCGGGAGAAGATCGTGTGTTTGAGACGCTCAGAGGGAGAGGAGAGATTTGTTTTGCTGGGGAAAGTGAGACGCGGGCCTCCTGCCGGCGGTAAGGCTGGCATTAGGCCAGGCTGGTCTCTTTTCAGCTCCCTTCGGCTCACCCTGAGCCAGAGTCTGGGGAAGAGGGGGGTCTCCAGGAAGGCAGGGCCTTCTGGAACACCCAGGGACAGGGAGGGAGAGGGCCTTCTGTATACTTAGGGCACAGCCCCCCCACCCCCAAGCCCAGATGTCTCAGGCAGAGCAGGAAGGGACTTTGCATCATCCCCGCCCCTGCTTTAGGAGGCAGCATCCCCGCCATTTTTGCTTGAGTTTTTCAGATAGGGTCTGGTGCTTTTGTACAGGCTATCCTTGGACTGAGATCCTTCCACCTCCATATTCCAAGCAGCTGGAATTACAGGCCACCCCAACCGGCTCTTGCACTGTCCTTGTGGATGTGGATGTGTGTGCTGGTACTGGGGCTTCAACATTGACTCTTAGTTTTTTCACTCAAGAAAGGTACCTTACTACTTGAATCACAACTGTACTCCCAGTTTTTTGGTAGTTAATTGAAGATAAGAGTCTCACGGGTGGGGCTAGGAAGGTAGCTCAGTGGTAGAGCGCTTGCCTTGCATGCTCAAGGCCCTGGGTTCGATTCCTCAGCACCACATAAGCAAAAAGAAAAAAGCCAGACGTGGCGCTGTGGCTCAAGTGGTAGAGTGCCAGCCTTGAGCTGAAGAGCTGAGGGACAGCACCCAGGCCCAGAGTTCAGGCCCCACGACCAGACCAAAAAAAAATTTATTTAAAATAAAAAAGAGTCTCACGGGCTTTCCTGCCTGGGCAAGCTTCAAACTGTAATCCTCACTCAGGCCTCAGCCTCCTGAGTAGCCAGGATTACAGGCTGAGCCACCAGCGCCTGGCCACACTTACGCTAGTGGTTTTACAATATCTAAACACTAGTTTTGTCATGAAACAAGAAGCCTTGGCTCGGGTTGTGTGGGATGCAGCGGAGCTGAGTGGAGGATGTGGAACCGGCAGGCACTATTGCGCAATCTCCCAGGGTCTTTGGAAGATCAAGAAGGACAATAAGCAAGAGGGTAGTATGGGACCCAGGCAAAGTAACTTATGCCTGGAATCCTAGCTACTTGGAAGCTGAGATTAGAAGGATTTCTGTTTGAGGCCAATTCAAAATCCCCTATCTCAACAGAAAAAGCTGAGCATGGTGGTGTATATCTGGCATCCCAGCCTGGCACAGGAAGCATGACTAAGGACTGCAGTCCAGGCTGGTCTGGGTACACTAGAGAGACTCTATTTTAAGAAGACGAAAATTCAGCTGAGCACGGGCGGCTCACACCTGTAATCCTAGCTAGTCAGGAGGCTGAGATCTGAGGACTACAGTTTGAAGCTAGCCCTGGTAGGAACATCCATAAGACTCTCATCTCCAATAAACCATGCAGAAAAAGCCAGAAGTGGAGCTGTGGCTCAAGTGGTTGCGTGCTAGCCTTAAGCACAAAAAGGCTCAGGGACAGTGCCCAGGCCCTGAGTTCAAACCCCAGGGCCATAAAAATAAACGAAAGAAAGAGAGGGGCAGGGAGGGGGGAAGAAAATTTTAAAAAGAAAAAATAGCTAAAGAAGTACAGCATCTGCTTAGCAAATATGAAGCTCAAATCCCAGTCAGGCCACAAAAATAGAGAGAGGAAAAAGTCAGAGACAGAGACCCAGAGAGAATGAACTACAAATGCCTGAGCGTACAGCCTGGCCAATCACCCCCCAGCATCAAGGCCCCCTGAACTCTGGCCCCTCCCCGTCCCCTCTTCTCCATCTCTCACTCTCTAGCCCTCAGACCTGGTCCAGGAGCTGCTTGTCAGCCGGGAGCCAATGGGGCCTAAGCTTGTCAGGGTTTCCTCCGGGAGGGCCGTGGCCAAAGTTACCAGGAAAGCAGCCGCACCTCCGCCCTGGGGCCTCTGCTCCTCCTCATGGGTCTGAGGGGTGACTCCAGGATGAGGACAGGGTGGACACCGTCAGCACCCCAAAGCCACCTTCCTGCTTGTTCTGGCCGGAAGACATTCATCCGAGGGTCTTCTTGAAAAGTTCTCTCCATTTAACAGATCCTTTTAGAAAAGGATGGGATCCTTTTCCATCAGTCATGGCAGCCAGTCAAGGCATCAGGCCAAGGCCCAGGAGCGGAGGGGGAACTGCAGCGACAGGCCAACCATGGAGCCCGTCCCCCCCCCCCCCCCCCCCCACACACACACTCTACTATCCTCTCACGGCAGAGAATCAACACTGAAGAATCTAGGCCATGAAGCTGTCCAGACCCTCTCTTCCCAAGACACTCCTTTTGGGGTACAGGCTATGGAGAGGGTCCCACCTGCCTCCTCTGCTCCAGCTGGCTGCAGATCAGAAATTCATGCCAGCTGTGAAACCTCCATTATCACTTATTTCCGCACTCAGGGAAGATGGCAGGCCCGATCCTGGTCCTTGAGGCCCTCGCTGCCCAACCAGCACGTCCACATGACCGAGGCTGTGACCACAGTCTGTCTGGACAGGCAGGGGAGGGGCATGCTGGTGACCTGGGCATCCAGAGGGCATCCCAAGCAGGAAGGGGAGGAGCCTGGCCGGAAGCCTGCCCTGGCTGGGGATGGCATGGGCTCTGTGTCAGGTCACACCCTGACTCCACTCCACAGACAAAATGCCAGAGGGTCCTAGAGGTCCAGGGCCATAGGCTTCCCCAGGCGGGCTGGGCGGGGGGGGGGGGGGGGGGGGGCAGCAGCCAAGAGGAGGGAGATGCAGGTTTGCAGGTTTGGAGACTGGCTGGGCCAAGGAAGGGAGGGGAGCCAGGGCTGGGCTCCGAGCAGCAGCCACGGGCAGAGCCAAGCGCCATGGGGCGTTGGCAGGGATGTAAATGGAGGCTCTAGGCACTGTGACCACAGGCACTAGACATGGGTTTTGTTAGACCTTGGTGGCGGTTACAGATTTGCAGTCTGAGCACGGACAAGTGGCTTCAGGGCTCCAAGACAGGGAGCCATTGCTTTGGCTTGTGTGTCCCCCACAGGACCACGTGGCCAGGGTCAGGAACTGGCTGGGCCGCTTCTGTGATTCAGCTCATGTAACCATCTGGAGGAACAAATTCCAGGCAGAGGATTTGGGGGACCCTGGACCCCTGGCGCTGAGGAGATGGGGGTGATGGAGAAGCAAGGTCCACTAGCACCCCACAGCCCCTCTACCACTAAAAACTCTACAAGCCAGGCAAGGCCCTGCCTTCCTGTCTCTACCCCAGGGATACATGGGAAAGGCCCAGAAGGGGCTGAGTGGAGAGGTGCCTGCAGCGGCGGCTCACAGCTGTCACCCCAGCCCGGAGTGAGGATCACAGTTTAAGGATAGCCAGGGTAGGAAACTCTAACTCCCATTAACTGGCAAAATGCTGGAAGTGGAGCTGTGGCTCAAGTGGTAGAGCCCTAGCCTTGAGTCAAAA